GAGTTCAGCACTGCTGGGTGGCCTGACTGGGAAATGAAAGGCATCAATTTTACCACCTGATTTTTCATCTGTGTTCCAAAACCCCCCTCCCCAAACCGCTCTGGCAGCAGGAAAAGGGCCTTGGAGTGACTGGAAATTACAGCTCCTTTCCCTCTGGCCGAGGGGGATGAAGAGGCTCTGCCATCAGTTTTAAAAGCATCGCTTTCAGGAGTGGGGCAGGATAATTCCCCTCAGCCATCAGAGCCCATTCCAGGGCTGGGAAGCTCCAGGAGCCAGGGAAAAGGAGAGTTTGACCCTCCAGGGGCAGGATGGCCTTGATGCTTTGATGGCCTTCACTAAGGTTTGGAGAGCACTTAGAGATCTGTGGCTGGAAAATGAGATGCAAATGCTCAGTGTCATCATTAACAGTGGCAGGGAAATGCAGGATTTGGGGAAAAGCTGGAGCACGACCTGTTTTTTCTGCCTTTGAATGAAGTTTGTAGCTCACTTGAACTGCTGCAAAGCTGGGGGTGACGTGCTGCCCACCCGCAGAGGAAAAGCTGAAGGCACTTCCTACACAAAGCCTTTGGTTTTGGGGTGAAATTACCCCTGAAAAGGAGAAAATAAACTGCTTTAGACACTGCCTGGATAAAGGAGTCCAGAGGCTGAATGGCCTCAGGGTCTGTTTTTAAAGAGATTTTCTTTTTGTGGAGAAGGCAATGGCAGGAGAGGAGGTGTCAAACTTCAGACTGTTGCCAGAGTCCTGTTTTCCTGGGTTAAAACTGTTAAGGTGCTAAAATGGGGTGATTGTTCACTGAGGACAAGATAAGAACATGATAACAAGATAAACACATACACTGAGCAAATCAAGGTTTATCTCCCCAAAGGGGTTGATGTGAGAGCAACTCCTGATTGGGAGTTTTGGCTGCTGAAGTTTGAGACCTGGATTTAGGGTTTGTTTTTTTTTTTTGGTTTGGTCTTTTTTTTCCCACGGGGATGTGTCTAAATTTTATTTGTTTATACCCTTTTTAAAGCACAGCCTGTGAGAGCAGAGCGAGCCTTGTCACCCAGGTATGGATCATTAAACAGAGCTGGACACAGGGTACAGAGAGAAAACCTTGACTTCCAATAAACCAGCTCGAAGAGAAAGACAATCCTGTTTTATCTGAGCTCTGGGAGCTCAAGAGCAGCCCTGGGAGAAGGACTTGGGGGTGTTGGTGGGTGAGAAGTTGGAGATGCCCCAGCCCAGAACCCCCCTCTGCCCTGGGCTGATCCCACAGCGGGAGCAGCAGGGCAGGGGGGGGATTCTGCCCCTGGGGTGAGACCCCCCTGCAGAGCTGCCTCCAGCCCTGGGAACAACATTCCTGAAGGATGTGGAGCTGCTGGAGAGAGTCCAGAGGAGGCCCTGGAGCTGCTCCCAGGGCTGGAGCCC